GTCACTCAAGTGTGTGGCGAGTCTATTTAAATGTGTCCTTTCATGTCTACATGTAACTGATACATTGTTGGTTTTCAGTCGCCTGTCAACTTGAGCCCGCCTGTCTCCACTATCATTTAACAGGGCAACAGACAGCTGAGAAGAGCAACAACAACAACAACAACAACAACAACCTTAGTTGTGTGTATGTAGACAAGAAGTGTACATGCAGGGTTGGAAACATTCACAAACCAATCAGTAAACCTAGTATGAATGCTCAGGATCATGTTCAGTACACCAACTGCTGCTCCTTCATTTCCCACCCCCTGGATGTATGTTGACTACTATCAGTACGGTTATTAATGTATCTCACACCCCCGTCTTGTCAGAGTAGGTTGAACAAATCTCCTAAACTGCAGGCTGGTCTCTGCCTTGTCCCGAAGAGAGCAGCAGCAGCAGCTCTGTGTTTGTCTTGTGGTTGGTGACAGCACATGAACATGTGGTCATGCAGCGTCCAATGCCGAGCCTAGAGCAGGCAATCAGCACTGTCAGACTAGCAGCAGCAGCAGTGCTGGCACGGGAGAGGAACTCTGCCGTCCCCCTGCATAGAGAAACCCCCCTAAAAGAGACAGAGAGAGAAAGAGAGAGAGAGGGAGAGAGAGAGAGGGATTTGGTTACAGAGCGAAGGATGAGGATGCAGTGGGAAGGGGATGTTGCAGAGGAGTCTGCAAGGAGGCAAAAACAAAAAGGAGGACAAGCTGTGTGATCCTGGTCTCAAGATGTAGAGCTGCACCAGAAGAGCCCTCAGTCAGAGTGTGTGTGTGTGTGTGTGTGTGTGTGTGTGTGTGAACGCACCATAACATCAGGCGACTTGTGTTTCAAGGATAGTGAAGGTGGAGAGGCGCAACCCGAGAAGTCCCCCCTCCACCTCCACAGAGGATGACAAATTAGTCCTTATTCAGCAAGGAGCGAGAGCATCACCCTGAGGTTAGTGAAGTGCAGAGTCATACTGTTTCCACCTGATTTGAACACGTTGTTCTCACTTATTCCATCTCTTCTTTGGCACTTGTTTTTGTCCTGTACGGAAATGAGCCGAACGCGCAGCACTGTCGCTGGTGATTTCCTCATGTTCTGCCACTTGTTATGATAAATCATGGCTGTGTACAGTGAGTGTGTTGTTTACGAATGCAGTCCCATCCCAGCTGACCTGTCAGGGGAAAAGCGTGGTGATGAAGTGGGGCTTGTTGTTTCTTGATGTGATGTCGTTATCCAGGATCAGATGTTGTCCACAGCTCAGCAGATGCTGCAGGATAGCCGCTCCAAGATCGAGCTGATCCGACTGCAGATTATCAAAGTCACCCAGGCTGGCAGCAGCAGTGGCGGCAGTGGTGTTGGCGGTGATGGTGGCGGCAACCATGACAGCTCAACACATGGAGGTCAGAGTCCTGTGCCAAGACCCCTTTAGAGGGTCACTGGATGTCAAGAAGAGCAATTTGTATATACACAAATTGTTATAATTAGTTTTATTGCTTTATATGCCTTCTTTCTGTAACATTAGGGGCATTACCAGCCTCCAAGCGTCTTCTAGTATTTAAACTGGCTCAAAAGAGGCAGGAAATCATACAGTGATCAAATTCTGTCACCTAGCAACAACATCAACACATCTGTGACACAATTTATGGTTGTTTGTATCAGTCAGACTTTCTAAATGTAGATGAGTTAGCTGGCTCATTAAACGTGAAACATAATAGATAACATCATCTTGGAATAATGCAACTGTAAGGCCATTTTTGCCTTGAAAACCTTGAAGGCTTTTTAACCTTAAAAGTGCAAATCTATAATTGAACCATTACAAATGTTTAGGTTGAGAAGTATAGTCAAAAGAGGAATTATGGTATGAATGCTTTGTGAAATAGTTCCTGTTATCACACTTTTTTATTAATGTTTCTCAGGCACGTTTGCAATCATGGCCACTCTTTATCTTGTTTCTTTAATGCTGTTCTTAATCCAGATGTGTGGGTCAAAATGTTAAGTTTCTATGAATGATTCAGTTCAATTAAAGGCAGTAATGTATGCCAGAACCTCCCTCTCATTGAAGAGATTTGGGTTGACATGCTGTAACAATCTAGATGATGTTTCAAAAGCAATTCCTGTGGAAAACAGCGCAGTCGTTTGGTGTAAAAAAGGTAAAGTTCAGAGAGTAACAGTAGAAAATACTGTCTGTTCGAGACTTCAGTTCAGAAATATCTGGTGCTGGTATCAAAAACCCATTTTGGTTGAACCGTGCTTCCTGCCAACTCTCATGTTTTTTGTGGGTGTTATTTGTATAATCTGGAAAGTGAAACCACTCTGACAGCATTAATGGGGACAGAGAGTAAATGTGACTTTTAATTCTAAAGTGGAGATGTGGGCCATTTGAAAAATCTAAAACTAACACTTACAAAATGATCTGGCTTGGAAGTAAAAGAGCATGAAATACGAGACAAGTTACTCTGTACCTTGTTTCCTCAGCTCATATTTCCTTTCCCTGACCCCTGACCTCCTTTCCTCTCATTGATTGTAATGTTGTGATCTGCCAGGAATCCTCTCTACTATTGTAGGCTGTTTAATTTACTGTCTGTCCAAGTGTCAGCTAATTGTGACAAAGCAAATGTTAATACATTAGGACATGTTATACATGCACAAACTGCTTTGTTCACAATTTTCAATCTGTATGTTGGAAAAATATTACATTTCTGATCAAACTAGAGATTCAATAACTGCTGTATTTGCCCATGTTGAGAAGCAGTAGTACGTTTTTGGAGAATCACTCAAGCTGTTCAGAAAAGTAATGATGAATGGATCAAAATTTAGATTTTAGAAACTAGACACTATAAGTCAGTGTTACCAAAGCCCCAAGCAGCAAGAGAAAAAAATGATTATTTCAGTTTAAAGTGCCACATTTTATCTTACTGCTTTTTTTCTCCAGTTCTTGTCTCCTTATATTAACTTAGCAACAGGTGAAGGATTTCTCTCCCAGTCACTTTTTATCCTGCCTTTTAGAGCTTTCTTAGTTTCAGTTAAGTGTCAGCTAAATTCTAGGAACATAAAAAATATGACGTTAGGACCTTTGCCTGCAGCACAGTGACATTTTAGAGAAAAAGGCTCACTTCACTTTTATAAATATTGATTGCAGGAATGAAAAGAGTTTCAGTGAGGATCTCTGAGGATGTATTTCTTGTTTGAAATGAATCCCTTCATACTGAAATACTCTCTCTCTCCGTCTCCCTCTCAGAGAGCTCTCCGGTCGCTGTTAGTCTTGTGGATGCTCGTTTGGCTGAGTTGCAGCACTACATGCAGAGAGAGACAGATGCATTGGTGCTGGCCAAAGATGTGGTAAAGCAGCTGGAGGGAATCTCATCGCTGGACCAGAAGGCTCTGGCTGAGGTAGGAACTAAAATAGCTTGAGTTCAGGGCAGCCAGGATGCTATATGTGCACATTCTATGTGTAAAATTATGGTTTATTATTGGTACCCGGTTTTGGAAAAAATGTATATACTATTTGTAGATGTTTCCTAAGAATTGAATTATTGTCAGGGAGGAAAAGCCTCTCAAACAGCCTTTAGATTATTACAACCCTCCAATGCAACCAGATTGATGGTCAGCAGCTAAAATAGGGGTAACCATCTTATGCAGTGACAGACAAAATTTGGGCTACATAGAGAATGCATTTATAAAGAACGTCTAAGGACCTACAAGCCCCCTGCATATCATGTAAACTTATCGCTGTACTAGGACTGGTAATTGTGAGCATTTTCCAGTGTATCCTGGATCATTTTCTCCTGGTTTCCCTTCATTTCCGTAGAATATACAAATCATTTGGCAGCACTCTTGAGACTTGTTTCAGTTGTGTAATCAAGTCTACATTGCTTTTTAAGTATTGTTTTTGTTTGGTGATGTTTAAGTTTAAACTAATTTGAAAAGTCCCCCCTCCTGGTTGCCTCACATCGATATTATTCTGTAACTTTAAAATTCCCTGTGATAGGTTAAACGACTCAAGGAGGTATCCACTGCCATTTTATTTTTATGTCACGTAGAAATGAATGGAAACCTGTCAAATAAAGTGTTCATGATTTGTATTAAATGGCTTAATACATCCAACATCACAGCTACAGTATGGTCCTTTAACGGTTGATTGAAAACATAAAATATGCAATGAAAATAAAGTTTCATGTTCCGATTCTTAGTTTAGTTTTCGTCAGAGCAGCACCTTCGCCGTGCCAAAGGACACTGATTAGCTAAAATCTGATAAAGCACAAAATAAAAGGAAAACCTAGTTAAATCCTGTAAAGTCTGAAAATATGTTTATTTTTCAAAGTGGAGCAACAATAACTGTATCCCAAAATACCGACGGCACTATGTTTAAAAAGACCAAACATAACAACACATTGTTTATCTTCCCATCAGGCTCAGTCCCGGGTGCAGGAGTCCTCCCAGAAGCTGGATCTTCTGCGAATGTCCCTGGAGAAATTCCCAAAGGAAAACAACCAGGAGCCTTTACAGCAGCCTGAAGGTGCGGTCGAGCCCTCAGAGGGAACTGTGTCTCCCCAGAACTCCAGACCGGGTTGTCCCCTGTCCACCTCCCCGTCCATCTTCTCTATCAGACCTGCCTCCTTGACTGGTACTTATCACTGCGAATGAACTGAGCATTTTCTGTCATTTTCAGCCCGATTTGTAGATTGTGGATTCTGGACAGCGCCAGTTTACATTGAAAGTGCTGACTCAAATATGCAGCCATTCTTAGTAGTATAATGGGCAGCCAATGTTTGAACATGGTTTACCATACGCTGACCTCTGGCAGTAGATAATCAGGACATGTAATCTGTTGGTTTTGGACGGTTCAGTTGTAAGCCAGTCTCTCCCTGCACAAGGCAAAAAAGGGCAAAAAAAAGCCGTTTGATGATGTAATGAGGAGACAAATCCTGGAGTCGCTCTTTTGGCAGCGAATAATGAGAGCGAGTCTCAGAGCGGTGAAAACACTCTGGGTGATTTCTGCTCCACAGCTGTTAGCACTACAGTGAAATGAAGAAAATCAGGATGTGAATGCTCAGTGTGCAGCTCCAGACAGCACTGATTAAAGGCTTCAGTCTGAGAGATTTATTCATGCTGACAAATGAATGGTTTTATTTTGAAATGCTGCGTTCACTTTAGTCAACTGTCTTGAACTGAGATTCATTAGCATTACCCACTGGAGGGTTGAAGTGTTTAGTAAGTATATTAAGTAACAGTGTTCAAATCACTTCCAACTAGTGTGTGGTTACTTTTAAACTAAGCAGTCTCATTTGATTTAGTAGATGCTCTTGTTGAGAGTTGAATATTCAGTATTTTTTAAGTCTAAATGAAAGTTCATTGTTTTTTCAGGCAAACTTGAAGTCAGGCTTCTTGGATGTGAGGATTTACTGAATCCTCTGACAAACCCAGAGCAGGAAAACCATCCGAGTCCCATTGAGGATTGTTCACCGGCTGCTAACAGGACAGATGGACCCTCTGGTAAGCAGACATTTTGCATTTGAAAGCATTTAGTTTGAGTTTTTTCCATTTGACTGTTTTTGCCAAACGTTTAGCTTGTTTCTCAGCTCCTTCCCCGAGTGAAGATATAGTTGGATGAAATGTGATCGATCATTCAATTATAATTGAATTCTTGCAGCAACAAAGAGTAACAATACGAATAATAATATAATAACAGTTTAAATAAAGAACACTAAAATGCGAGTTGTAGGGTCATGATATATAAACAGTTATTTTGTTTACATGGATTTACAGTTGTTCATGAAATTGAAACGTGCTTCTTTTAAAGTATGAACTACTTGTACAAGGATTAATCTAAATTTTTATCGGTGTGCTTATTGCATTTTATTAAATGATATCCTTTAGGATGTTGGCTGGATGTCATCTCAAAAAGTCATTCACTAAATGGCATGGCATTTACTTGCTATTTCCAGAACAGAGAAGACAAATGATAAACAGTTATAAACTGATTGTAAGTCTGCGGCTTTGAACGTAAGAGAATGACTCATTCACTGTTGAGTTTTCCTGTATGGCTCGGTGGGAATAACAGGCCATTAAACGGATTAAAGGTACAGCTTTGATTCAGGCTGAGGTGACCCACACTACTTTTATATTAAGCTGGTGCTCTTAGTTGTAACATGTTAGCAGCTTCATTTGGTAACATGTCAGAGTTCAGAGTCTACCAACTTGTTGGGAAGGGTTTCTGGTCTAAAGTGGCCATTATCTGTCCACTCTGCCACAAGCTATTATTATTATTAAGATCTTTTATGTTTTTGTATTGGTGCTTTAATATTTTGTCTGATGTTGTTGTCATTCTTATACTCAATTTAGTCTTGAAAAAGACATTTAGTTTTAACTATATATTTTCATAGTTTAAAAATGTAGTGACAAAAAAACACTAAAGGAAACAAGACGACAGTGCACATATTGTGGAAGCTAACAAGTAAATCAGTTTTTGATGATCAGAACTCAACTGGTTAATGAGTTGAGTTGATAGTTGTAATAATCAGACTATTGCTGTAATCCAGTTATAAACACTTGATGTAAACACAGTGACAGTGAGAAGGGACTGTTGTTGGTTTTAGTGACACATCATTCTCTGTCCCTCAGTGGAGATCAGCGCGGTGCTCAGACTGGACACCAGAGTTGTCGGCCGAACACGCTGGGCAGCCGTTAACAGGCTGAGCTGGGATCAGATGTTCTGCATCCAGCTGGAGCGGGTGAGTCCAGTCAGTGGTGGGTTAGTGAGTATGTTTACACTAGTAGAACACTGGTATACCATTACCTTGCTTTTGATCCTACTGAGCGTTTGACATTGACATGAAACATGGAGAAAGCCGGTTATTCACCTCCCTTTGAACATGCTTCAAACATGATCCAGGATTTTGGGCATCTGTTTCAGTTCGGACTTTGACACCATAAACACTCATCTGTCATGTGAGTGGACTCAGCAGTTTGGTTTGTGGCCATAATGAAAAATGAAAGCAACAATTCGATCTTCCTTATATTATTTATCACAGTATCTTCTGAGCGTGGAAGTTCACTCTTGAAGGAACAGTGAACTGTGTGTGACAAGATAATCCAAGCTTAAAAGTACACTTACTAGATTTTTGGAACCTTTACACTTCATCTCACAGTCTTCTTCAGCAAACAGAATGACTCTTGAGCCAGCTTCATTGGACTTTTTGAGTTTAGATGGCTTTGTTAATCATTATATCTTTAGTTTTATTGACAAACTTCGAGGAGCAAGCGGACAGTGCTTCTGCAAACATGGCAGGCAATCATCAGAGACTTGGATCAGGGGTTAAGATGACACAGTATCCTGGTTTCTGTAATACTCCTGGATAGCTGGTATGAAAAAAATAAACTGCTTATGAACACTTGCAGGTGAGTGGAGTAGTTAACATGACATGAGATTAATCTAATTTCTCCAAAATTCTAATAACATCTGGGACATTATTTGAAAAGTGAATATTTTTATCTTATTTGCTGATTGACACCAATAAACAACAAATGCAAAAAAAAAAATTGCAGTCGGTATTTTCCTGTAAATTGTGGTGGCAAGTTGGTTATGTAGAAACTTAAACAATAGCTTCACCACAGATTTCCCATCATTTAAACTCCCTTTATATTACTGAAGGCAAGCTTCCAGTGATTGTGAGTCATTTTTCATGTTAATTCTGATCCACAACACTCACGTCTGAGCAGTCTTTCCTGTGTATTTACTTCCCTGTTTGAAGTAAGTTGAATTACAGTAAGTTGAAGACAATATGTTCTCCTTGTATGATGAATGTGCAGGACTTGGCCTCTGTGACACTGGTGCAGATACAAACAGCATCAGCAGCTTACAGCCTGTAGTAACGCTGTACGTGCTGACACATATAATACAGCAATCACAGGACCTTACAAGGGCACCATGCAGGACAGACACTCAGCATATGAAGACCTACATTTAAAAAGAAAGTAGCACTTAAAAAAAAGCCAAAAATGTAAGGAACAATAGAGTTTTAGAATTACTGACTTTATACTACTTTATACTCCTACTCCACTAAGTTTCAGAGGTAAATATTGGTTTGTTTTTTTACTCTACAACATTTACTTGACAGTTATATTTACATGGTTTTTTTTTGCAGATAATTGTATTTATTTATTTAGTTAATTGGTAACTCACTTGGACAGTCAAGGCTTCTAAGTTTTATTACAATGATTACATTCTTTGAAAGTCCCTTGGTATATCGCAACAAAAAGAGAAATTAAAGAATTCAACTTAAATGTTTATTATAAATCATCTACAGTATAAACAGAATAAAACACTCTGAAAAGGCCATTATGCATAATCAGCACTTTTACCTTTAATACTAAAGTGCAGTATCCTGATGATACTTTCACTAAGTACAGTAAGTTTAGTTGAGTTATAATAAGTTATTTTGAATGCAGTATTTTAACTTGTACAGGAGGATCTGAACAATGTGGTGTTGTTAGTTTTACTTAAATAAAACATATGATTACTTTCCCTCTTCTGTTCATACACCCACTCTCTGCCCAGTTGTTCATAGCAGCAATACTGCACTGGTTTATTATTGTTGTAATTCTGTGTGTGACCAACAGGTGTCTTCCTATGACCGGCAGATTTCTATTCATCACACAATCTCAATCAAATATTACACAGAAATGTTCAGTCTTATAATAAGTTATTATTATTATTATAATAACTTATAAAAGTTATTCTAAGGTTTTTTTTGTTGTTTGTTTGTTTGAAGATTTGAGAGAAGTAAGTACTAGCATGGGGTTTCATTCAATTAAAAGTCAATTCAGACTTTAAAATCAGAGAAATATATCAGGTGATCCATTTCAGATCCTACTTTATTATTCCCCCTGATTGGAACAAAACATTCAAAGGCTCTTTTTGTTTGTTTGTTTTTCATGCTTGATTTTGAATTTGGGAACCTTTTGTAAATCAGTTAGAAATATAATGAGCATAACATTATCAAAAAGACAAAAAATGTACTGAATTCCAGCTGAAATCATCACAATTAAATAGATTTTTTACACACAACTCAGGTTTATCGTCCACAGCATGAATTAAAGTCAGACCTTCAGTCAAATTCTGTTTTGGCTAATTATACATGTGTCAGTTATTGCTTGTGTTAGTTGATTGTGTGCTTCTTCTGTCAAATTGCTGATAGTCTCGAGAGCTGGAGGTCAGTGTCTTCTGGCGGGACCGGAGGGTGATGTGTGCAGTCAGGTTCCTGCGACTAGAGGAGATGATGGACAATCAAAACCATAACCAGGAGTTTAGTCTGGAGCCACAGGGCCTACTCTACGCCAAGGTACACACATTACCTGCCTGGTGCATGGTAGGAAAGGGCCTGTAATGTTTAGTCAAGCTTTTGTGTTAATCCTATTTCTGGGGAGGAATAACTCTGTTGATGAACTGACGAAATGAACCTAATAGAGAAATTCTCAAAGTATGAAAAATATATTTCATAAGTTCAAGGTATTAAATGTCTGGAGATGGAATTATTCAAATGACATAGGAAAGAATGAAAAACTGCTGGTTTGTTGTCAAATTGACCAGCAGCTATCATGATAAATATAACAGCAATCGGCTAAATAGGACAAAGAAACATTTTCTTTCCTACTTTATTCTTTTTTGTAATCTTTAATGTCTTACTCTTTGCCACCCTTAAAGGTCCAGTGTGTACGATTTAGTGGCATCTAGCAACAGAGGTGCAGATTGCAACCAGCTGAATACAGCTCAGCTTTCCAAGCATGTAGAACAAACTATGGTGGCCACAAAACACGCAAAAGGTATCTAAAGCCAGTGTTTAGTCTGTCCGTTCTGGGCTACTGTAGAAACATGGCAGTTCAACATTGCACACTCCATAGAAGAGGACCCGCTAACTCTGTAGATAAAAACTTTTCAGGTGACTATACAATAATAAAAACAATAGATCCTCCTAAAAGTTACACACTGGACCTTTAAATGTTCTTAATGTAAGGAATGGTAGAATCACATTTGTTATTTAACAAATTGTAAATATAAAATGTTCAGAAACTCTCAATCTAGCCATAAACACAAGTAAATGTGCCAAAAATAATTCTGCTGTTCTTGACTTTATAGCTTCGATTCATTGACACTATTGTTGAGCGGCAGCCGAGACTGAGACGTCAGCGTTGTATCTTCACTAAAGAGAGAGGTCAGACATACAGGCTGTATACAGATACAGATTTCATTTGTTGTTTCTGTTCCTGCAGTGTAACTTGGTGCTATAAACCATGTCAGTATTTAAATTCCTCACTTTCTTTAATATTTTTGTTAGTTGATTTTTTAAATGTACGTTTCTTTTCTTCCTCAGGGAAGAACTTCCTTAGAGCAGCTCAGATGAACATGAATTTTGCCACGTGGGGTCATTTGATGATGAACATCCTCCCTCGCTACAGCTCCTTCACCACATTCAGCTCGTCCCTCTCTACGAGCCCTGACCTAGTGGCCAACAACACCTCACGTCCAGCTGAGAAAGAGCCTCAAACCACCACTCCACTGCCAAGGTCTGAAATAATCTAAGCATTATATATGGTGTTTTTTCAATCGATATTACTGCACCAATAATGTTTACTGCTGTAGATGTTTAAGGTTGAGCTAAATTGAACCACCTTATATACTTTCAGGTAGTTTAATTTACAGCAATGGATCATTTTGTATAAGATCATCGTGTGTTTGTAGAGTCAATGTCCTGTGAGAACCACGTATCTCTAAAATGTTGTTTTCATGAGCTCAGAAAAAAAGCCCTGTTTTTATCTTTTTGACAATGCATTAATCCAAGAGGGTTTTGAATAGTTTGTTTAGCTTAAGAAGTACGAGAGTTTTCTAAACCTATAAAGGAACGCTTTATCCTGCAGTTCGTCAGAAACATTCACATTAAAAGCCGTGGTGTAAACCTCCTCTTTATTGTTTGGCTTTTGGGTTTTATTTTCTCACAAAGCCTTACTGTTTAGCAGGTGAACATCCCAGATGTCAGACCTTCAGACCAACACTTGGGCCAACACAGTTTTTAGTTTGTTGGAATCAAGTTGAGGCTCCATGACAGTTCAGGTTGAAGCTGAACAATAGCAATTTTTTTGTGTTGTCTTTGTACATCTACAGCGAAGCTCCCGTAATCAGACTCAGCATAACTGAAGATCAGCCCTCCCCGACCAGCCTCGACCAGGGAGACAACACCTCCACTGTCATCACTACAGCACACAAAACCTCATCTGTGCCTGCACTGCAAGAAAAAGTGGTAAATGATTATTGATAAACCTGAAATAAAGGACATCATTATAAGCAATATAATAACAAGAGTCTGAACACTAACAGCTTGGTGATGCTGTACTTAAGCACAGTGGTGCTTTGAGCTAAATGCCAATGTCTATAGCTTAAAACATAAATGTTTCTTGAATTTTCCATTATTTATATGACTTATTTTACAACCAAACGCTTGTGTGTCCTTAAAGGTTATATATAGGAAATATAAGTATATTTTCATATTTTCACTAGATGTCACAGTAGACCACCAGCATCTCAGACCAAAACGATGAAATACAAGAAATAAAATATTAGTCTTTTCACAGTCTTTCCAACAAACACCAACAATGGTTTGGTACAAATAAACTATTCATTCACAGAGTCAGATGAGAAAATGCTCTGGCTGCCATGTTACAGGCTCAGATTGTTTTTCTAAGTATCTGACAACATTATGAAAAGGATCCCCACAGAGCTAAACTTTTGTTTTACCAGAAACAGACGTAATATCACTGTCACACGTGACGAGACTTCATAGACAAAAACAATGATTTTACCTTTGCACGAACATGCGTGTGAGGCCGGCTTTGTAAATAAAGCACAGAGAGACTGTGATAGCAAGACAGGCAAGAGGTGCGATGTCATTGTCAATTATCTTTACATAGAAAATAGTTGTTTGATTCTTTATTAATGTTTTAAATCCCATATATAACCTTTAAGAATTTTATATTTGATGTTATTTTATGTTTATAATGAAAATGATTGTACTCACTGTGTTTTATTAATTTCTCGATAAAATATAAACACACTACATAGAGCTTTTTATCATCCACCAGATTACACAATGACATATTGCTGGAACTCCATTTATATGGTGGATTCAGATTCAGGAACTAAATAATTGTTTCATTTTAAGAAACTTCTTGAAAACTCCATTCGAGCGATGCTGTCTTTGACAATGGCAGTAGTAAATGCAGTGAGCAGGTAGAAAAGAAGACAACAGACCTATTGATGTTGGGATGTGTTTTGTGAATCGTAGTTGGAACTGAATGATAAAATGCCCCAAACTTTGTCTCTATTTGCAGTCATCCATAAACAACACAGAAGGAAGTGAAGATCAGCCAGTATCTGCTCTGAAGTACACACATACACTTCTTATCTCAAATACTGGAAAAGTAAAAAGTTAAGAATGGAGCATGGCTTTTATTTTCTATGTTTGTCTTTTTTCACAAGGATGCAGTTGGAGGATTACAAATATATCTCAGTTTTGGGCAGAGGACATTTTGGGAAGGTAACAGTTTAAAAGTTTGTCATGCTTGATCAAAACGTTCTCTTGTGTTTGTCCTCAGTATGTTGTGAATGTTTCTGCTCAGGTCTTGCTGGCAGAGTTTAAGAAGACAGGAAAACTGTACGCCATCAAAGCCTTGAAGAAAAAAGACATTGTGACTCGTGATGAAGTGGACAGGTGTGTGTGAAATGACTTGAATGATTGACTTGAACTCTTTAAAAGTCTTGAATGAAGACTTTTAAAGAGTTAGCGTTTAGAGATCTAAATTACATTAAACTAGACCTACAAACACGTATGCAGGCCAGGCATCGACAGGAGGGATACGTAGAAGACAAGTCTATCTGTAATTTGGGAAAATGGACCCTTTTAACTTTAATAGTAACCAACGTTGGCAGTTTTCTCAATAAAGTTAGAGTGCTTCAAATTAAAGAGAATTAAACAAACGCCAACGGTCTACCTTGGCAGAGGGTTTATTTTATTGACTGCGAACACATTTTACTTCATTAAAGCCTATTTAACAGAATAAAGAACCTTTTATTGATTTCTCCATCAACAAATTAGTGAAGCCATTACAGCAAAATAAGGACAAATGCCTGCTGAAACTGAAATTAGTTTTAAGATAGAAGAACAAACACATTTTATCAGTTTACTAGTAGCCCATACCTAAGTACTGAGTAAAGGTTCCTCAATATGAGCTAAAACTTTACAAGAAACAGCAATACAACATTCAAGACATTCAGTCGAGGTCTAAAGGTGGCAATTTGTTGTACAAGTCTAGGAAATATATTGAATTCAGAGTAACTCATGTTAATCTGAGACATTATTCTGCAGCCTTATGAGTGAAAAGAGGATCTTTGAGATGATCAACGCATCAAGACATCCATTCTTGGTGAACCTCCACGGCTGCTTCCAGACCAGCGACCACGTCTGCTTTGTCATGGAGTATCTACCAGGTGGCGACCTTATGATCCACATCCACAATAACGTCTTCACCGAGGCCCAGACCAGGTTAGTATGTCCTCCTGTTGTTGAAAGGCTCTCCGCTGTTGGCAAACGGTATGTTTGTGTAATGTTATGTATATTTTAGCATTTTACACTGTAAGATCATCACACTCTAAAGAGAGAGCCAGTAGATACAGTAACAGAGACATTTTCCAATGAAAAATGGCTTGGTAATGTCTTTGAGAATTTTAATTAATATATTTAACGGTACATCAAAGAACCTCCAGCGGTTGTATTTAATATTCTAATCCATAATTTAAAGTCCTTTGTTGTTGTGTGCAGATTTTATTCAGCATGTGTCGTGCTGGGTTTAGAGTTCCTGCATCTGAATAAAATCATCTATCGGTAAGTGATAATGGCCAAAGCGATGTCATGTTACTGCACAGGTACTCTAGCCCTAGGTATAATTACATGCACTGTGTGTTTTACACAGAGATCTGAAGCTGGACAACCTCCTGATGGATGCAGATGGATTTGTGAAAATCACAGACTTTGGACTTTGTAAAGAAGGTAAACTGAATACACTGTTACTCATACTTATGATTTTTAATTTAAAACAAACTCAAAACTCTTCTTAAGTCAATCCGTGGTGATTCTTTTGTCACTATTTCTGCAGGGATGGGTCACGGAGATCGGACCTCGACTTTCTGTGGGACTCCTGAGTTTCTGGCTCCTGAGGTCCTAACAGACGACAACTACACCCGAGCAGTGGACTGGTGGGGGATGGGCGTCCTCATCTATGAGATGCTTGTGGGAGAGGTTGTTAACACATATTCAGTTCTCTGTGTGGATAGTTAAAGTTGTGCCGTCACATACAGCATTTTTCTCTCAGCAGTTTTTTGTCAGTCCATGTCCAAAGCTCTGAATGAAAGAGTTAAATCACTACCTCTCTCTGCCCTGCTACTAGTCTCCGTTCCCTGGTGAGGATGAGGAGGAGGTGTTTGACAGCATTGTCAATGATGATGTGCAGTATCCAGGATCTCTTCCTCCTGGTGCTGTGTCTGTCATCCAGAAGGTAAAAGCCTCTCACAGTCTCACTTCACTTTGATGCCATGTTTTTATTATAATTCATTGAGATATTCGTGCCTCATTTTATACCACATTTCACATTCATTCAGCATTCAACATAATTGGTATGTTTCTAAACCTAAGGATCTTGAATATAAAATACTGTTAATGGCTGAAAAGGTTCAACATTAAGACTAATCCAGGTAAAAAGGCTGTCACAACCAGAAAGATGTTTAATATTATAATCTCATGTACTACATACATTAAGAGCCTAATGGGTCTGCGATAAGGTAGTTACTTATTAATTTTAAGTTTAATAAAACAAATTGTTGATGATTGTAATCATTACAATAGAGAAACCAGGGAATATGTCTGGTAATGGAGTTTCTCTGGCACCTTTCAGTATTCAGTCAGAGCAGATTGTTGTAAACTTAGAATGAACATGGATAAACTTCCACAAACTCTCTGGTAAAGTCTGCACATATCAGTAAGAATCAGGTCAAACACAGACAGTTCTCTGATAAAAACTTTAACAAAGCTTCATCATCTGTGTACAGCTGTTGAAGAAGAATCCTCTGAAAAGGCTCGGAGCTGGAGAGAGAGACGCAAACGAGGTCAAAGGAGAAAAATTCTTTGAGGTAAATGTTCTCTAAATAAATAAACAGCTACTAACCCACTTGAAGCTCTGCCAAGACACATCAAAGCTGTGATAAACAATTTGGGTCTCTCCACTAAACTATTGATTACTGAAACCTTTGTGACTGAATACTGTTATTTTCATGATTTACCTATGACCGCAATGATTGGACATATTATATGTACAAATTACAAAAGTGTGGACAGCAGTTAATACTGATTTATTATGAAATGATAACTTCATTGTTCACCATTGTTGTTGGAACCTTGCCTTTCAGACCATCGACTGGGAAGCCCTGCTGGCCAAGAAAGTAAAACCGCCATTCCTGCCGTCAATCAAAGAGTCAGTGGATGTCAGCAACTTTGACAGCGAGTTCACTCGACTCCAGCCCGTCCTGTCGCCTCCCTCCAAGCCCTTCAGCCTCTCTGCCGAGCAGCAGGAAGCCTTCGCGGACTTCGACTTCTGCGCCTTGCATGGATGAAAGACGCGACGAAAAGACCAGGGTGGGAAATTACCACCAGACACGTACATTTGTTTTTTGACTGGGTAGTTTGTCCACTTCAGAGGCTACCATGGCAGGTAACCAATCATCATCATTTACATACAGTCAACCCCCTCACTGGCAAGTAAAATAATTCAAGAAACCAGCTACTTTATTAATACTCCTTTAAATTAAAACAGTAAAGGAGTAAGTAATTGCTGAGTCTTAGCAAGTCTTTAGCTACAGGTGAACAGTAAGACTTTTTAAAACTTTTAGTCTAGTTGCCTTAGTCAAAAGGCATAAAATTATTCAGTAATTTTCATAATCAATTGAAGTCCTTTATCAAGTACAAATGCTAAACATCTGCTGATGAGAGGATTTGCTTCCTTTTGCTGTTTCGTATCATTTACACGAATAATTTTTACAACTTGGTCTGCCAATAAGCACTTTTTTACGATCTCACTTTGGACTGTGGTATCTTGTAATGGCCATTGGTCGTCTTCTAAAACTTTTTGACATTTTGTAGACTGAATCGATTAATTCAAAAATAAAGGAAAAGTAAAACATGTTGGGAAACGAGAGGAGAGAAAGATATCTGTACGTAAATATAAAACTACCCTTAGCAACTGGTTACCTTGGCTCAGCACAAAGAGTGGAAACAGGGGCAAACAGCTAGCCTGGCTCTGTCCAAAGGTAATAGTCCCTGGGCCCTGATAGTTGTTCCCCTGTTTCCTGTTATTTCCTACAAACATGAGAGTGGTATGGATCTTTTCATCTAACTCTCAACAAGGATGAAAATAAGCATATTGATTTGTTAGTTGGAGCGCTAGTTTGTTCAAAAACCGGTTACAGGCTAGAAAGTGAGTTCTGAAATCCAGAAATCTGACCTCCTGGCCCAGGAATCATTTAGCTATTTGTATTAAGGAACAACCCTTCAAGCTTCCATATTCTCCTCTAGTGCAGTAAAAAATCTCACTTGATTTCCCCTTAAAGAAAGTTTCCCACCCTGGTCTTGATAGTACTACCAAATGAACAAACCCCTTGGATATTTTCTGCAGCTCAGTCATTCTCAAACAGGATATTACACATGATCCCATGGCTGATTTTGCGGACTGTTCTCACTGTCATCCAATTGACGATTAAATAACAGCATCAGGCAGCATCTTTTTTGTTTTTAACAGAGCAAAGAAAGTGATTGTAGCCCTTTATATTCTCTGTGGAGAGTCGAGCGCTGTTCAGACTGTTAAAGCAGTAATACAACTCTACCCTCACCTGCTCCTGCTGTCAAGAGTTTATTTATGAGTTTTGGTCAGGTGAAATTTGTACAAACAGGTGAAACAACTTTGATAGAGGATGCTTGAAGAGTTTATAACATTATCACCACTTCATTCCATGTCTTTATTCCTCTTTATAGTTTATTGTCAATGCTCCAATACTAGATAATTTGCTATGTACCAGTCGGTACGGTACATTTCGTAAAGCTCTGATAATGTTTGATTTGATTTGAGGTTAAAGTTTGTTAAGAAATTCTCTGGCTTTCAGTCAGTATTGGTCAGCTCCTATATGTGACCATTGACCATTGCTAATCCAGTGTTTCTCCTTTCACGTCATAATTTCGGCCACTTTTCTTCTCGCTAGATTACATAATTCTGCAAACTTTGGATCTGATACACCATTAGTTCAGACAGTGACTGCCTGGACTCTGTATGCCTGTAAGCTGCCTTATGTTGCCTCAAAATTGCATAAAAACGATGATTGTCACACCTCTCTGAAAGTTAACACATAATGCTGACTCAGTTCAACTTGTGTAGTGTTGTCTGTCTCAGTTGCTGGTGCATCACTCACAAACAGAGCATAATTATGTAATGTGGTATGAGGAAAGGTTTCACAAATCACGACGACATAATATGACATAGGAAAACTACTGTGGCACAAAGAGGAACATAGAATTGCCACAGTCAACAACACTGACTGAAAGTCACTTGACAGAAATTTTCCTAAACAACAAAAGGTTCAAATCAATAGCCTAAAGAAAGGGCCATAGACATACACTTAACTCAAAAAGCAAATAGTTATTTACATTATCAGCTTCACCAAATTTGGATTTGCTGCAGAGCTATTGTATTGAGTGCACATATATCAGTGTCAGCATATCAACAGTCAATAAGTAAAAAAAGTCTGGGTCACTTTTCTTTAAATGACAAATGAATGACCTGTTCATCTAAAAGAACAATTTACAATTTCAGCTGTGTTGACCAACTGATAGACTGGCCAAGCTGGCTCCTTTAGTAAAGTCATAATATAAGAAGTGAAATTATTGCTACTTCAGTCATAAACAGTACATGAATCAACTATGAATTGACTGAAGTGTTAAAAGTTTAAACATTATTGTCATTTTTAATAAACTCATAAATCCTTCATTCTTCCAGATTGTGGTGTCACCAATAAGCAGTCGTAGCCTCTTCAAGCATCCTGTGTGTTGGAGACAGATCCAGCTTGCTTTGTGGCCTTTGCTTATTATATTTATTTAGAATATTTATCCCTCAGAGGTACAGTATGTGCTGCCGTTTCTATGCATCACTGTGACAGGCTTTGCCCACTGCCTTGACCAAACAAACAAAACAAGCTAACCCAATTTCTGGTTATAAGCCTTTTTTAAAAGATGTTAAAGCCAACATGGAAATGTTTCATGTATTTGTCAAGTCATTCTCTTGTAGCAAAGACGTACGCATCCACATATCAGTCTCCTCCTGACCAACTGTTTTCTGTTATAACGGTAGAAGTGCATGGCACCGTTGTGAACTTGTGAACACTAGAAATCCTGTACAATAATTGCTAGCGGTATAAAAGAAGCCATAGAGAATTTAATATAGCCATAATAGTAAGAAAATATATGTATTTTGAATTTAGCAAATCATATTCTGTGATACTGAGCACTACTGATGTCAGTGCAATAAAAGAAGAGGAAGAAGAGGGGCAGCAGGGACAAAGCTTCAAGATCCATGCCCTGATTTTGTTGAGTCCCAGTATTCCCTTCCTACGTTCAAACTCCCAGCTGAGTTTCAGAAACATCAGGAGTAGGGGAGAGCTGGGGGAACTATTGGGCAATATATCAAAATTAGACCGGGTACTTTAAAAAGTAACTTAACACTAAATCCACTTCTAAGAGCAAGTAAATGATATGTAGAATCATTTAATCGATCTAGCCCCATTCTTTAGTGTTCATTGCAACAGCACTTATTTGTCTTTTTCCAGAGAAATACTGAGTCAATCTGTCATCTATTTGCATTAACATCATCCTAATGTAAAGTCTATGGGCCCAGCGGGAACACATTGCTAAGATCTCATTCCTATAATGCATCCATGGCATGACAGATCTGTGCCTGAGTGCTCTCAAATGTTGCCTCGCAGGAATTTCTCGTAGTCTTTTTGTCCTTTGTTTACTTCCATACTGTATGTAGAGGGAAAATTACGTTTCAAGTTTAATTGTCACATATTATATAGGTACAATCAGTAAAGTGTTTTTCCGTCAGTTCTTACTCCTGTTATCTGTCAGAGCTGTGATGCGGGTGGCTGGGTGCTCTTAATTTGAAAGGATTTTTGAATCAGTGAAGGCGAAACTGGGTGTTAAGTTACTCTTTAAACAAATCAGACCCCTGTCCTGAAACAGGAAGGCTACAAGTTTCTCCTGAAAGGCCAGTATGCCCATTCAAGGCCACGTGTCCCCAAGGAAGATTCTGAACCCTCTACCTGCTTTGGATAAGACCCTCAGCTGAATTAGTCAAATAGGACAACAACAGGACAACGGGCCGGCGTTGATTTAGCTGCTGTAGCACTTTAAGTTCATGCTGCTGAATATTACTGTGTTATTTATGTGTCAATACTGTATTTATGTGTGTACGTGAAGCATCCTGACCAGGAATGTCTGTACAGATGTACTCTATAACAACATGCATATCATCAGTGTTTTAATGTACTCTTGTTGTCAATAAATACAAACAGAACAAATACAGTAAAAAATGTTTGGAAAATATTTGTCTCTCTTAGGTAAGATCATCTCATCGTTAAATTAACTTAACAGTAAAAATAATTACTTACATTAATATACAAGTTACATTAAACCAAAGGCACAAGACATAAAGGCAATTAGTGTTATAACGTGGGGTCGCCACTCTCACGGGGCGACAACAGAAACGTTTACAGAATAAAAAGTGGTGATCAGACCTGAGAAAAATATGTTTCAATCAGATGGAGAGGTTTTTGTCTTTCTTTCAACAAAACAGCCAGAAAATAATTCATTATAATTCTGTTCAACAGAGGCCAACACAAACCAAGAGCATGAGACAAACACCCGTACAAAGAAGCTTGGATTATTTTGAAAAACAAGACTAGTCATGCTAGTGGTTCTGTGAGCCACTAGCATTGCTTAGCACGCTAACATGCTGACGTATGCTAACGTATGTTGGTTTAGTATGTTAGCATATGGTACTAATATTTGATCATTGGCATTAAACAAAAGGGACAGCTGAGGCTGATGGGAATTAAGTTTAGTGGGTATTTGGTCCTATATGTTATAGACTTTAACCTGATGGTGGCGCTCTATGAAAAGTCAGAGGACGGCCACAGTGATTACAATTCATCCTGAGGACAGCGTGAATGTTTGAACCAGATGAATTTAAACCCACTTCAGTGAACATCAGGGTGGTGTTCGAGAAAACGGCACAGCTGTATCTTAAAGTCGCATTTTTTCACTCAAATCACTGCACTTCCTTTTTTTTTTGCTGTGTCACTGTGGGCATCACGGCTCGTTTAGTTTTTTTCTGAATGCTAGTGAAGATGGCTGAGCTACTCTTGAACCAAATGCTGGTACCACCTCCTCTACTGCTGTCCAGTGAGTGACTCCTGAGCTGACAGCAGCCTGTCACGACAAACATGCTCCAAAAACGGGCAAAGACGTAGATCTTGGGGGGAGTTGAGACCCACCTGTCACTGAAAGCAGCCATTCCCTTATTTATGGATAACTTTAAAGCCTTGATATAATTCAAACAGGTGAGTTATATACAATTCACCCCCCTCTAATTTAACTATAGAGACCAAATCTGTTTTTTGTACCAGGCTGTAAACATGTTTATTGAAGATATTTTAGTCAGGACCAAAGAGGTGGACCGACATTACCATCTCTAATGCCACGCTGCTAGCATAGTTAAGAGGTTTTTGTAGAAAAATTAGTTTGTACTTGAAAAACTCTTGCCCTGAAAGTCGTGTCTGACCCCTGTGCAGACGATGTAGTGCCGTCTAGTCTGAGCGAGGTCAGACAGAATTTATGACGTGTTTGTGGTACATTTGCTCCCACATCACCGTCCTGCAGATGCAGAAGAAATCCCACAGGTTGCAGAAGATTCCTCGGTCAAAAGGGTTCTCCTCGTTTCCGCAGTTCTTCAGGTACGAGATCCTGTGACGTGACATGAACTCCCAGGTGGTGCAGTTGATGGAGACCAGGTAGAGGTGGCAGCCCAGCAGCAGCACCACCACCACAGAGAAAACACCTATAACGGCCAGCGCCGCCAACAGGAACCCGTTCACTCTGAACCACACCTCCCATGTGCTGCTGGGAGAGAGGCCAGACCTGAAACACACACACTAGTGTCAAGAAGAAATACAACAAGCGGTCATTTATTTTCAGGGTTGTTCTTTGTCCTGAACAATGCCTGGAAAGTTGAGTGTCTTGCCAAGCTATGTACCCATCATTCACATCACCACCAATCATATGCATTGCAGCCCATAAACTCTTAATATTAGCAGTTCCTCCACATTTAACATTAAAGTTTTGGATGTGCTGAACTGTCCAAAAGCCAGACGTATTGAACATTTTATATTAATATATCTAACTTTACATCAAGGATTTTGCAGCACTTTGGTCAACTTGTTTTGCTTTTTATACACAAACTTGTATACACAGCTTTAACTGCAGTGGTTACCAAAGAGTTCATTCTTTGCCATTCATGTCTGTTGTACCTAACAGTTGTTCTTTGGCTCTATTCATTGAGGTTTAATCCCACCAGTTAGTTGATGCGTGTATAGCTAAACCTACAATTTACAACATACTTCATAGCACTTCATGTATTTTGACTTAAAGCGTGCAGGATCAATTTCTAAAATGGTTCACTTGAACTTTGGAATTTGCATTTGCACATTAGAGCCCCTGTTTACCAAATGTAAACAAAGATTATCTACACTTTAATGATGTGTTACCAAAACTGTCACCCTGTGATAATTTTTTATTGGCTCATAATTAGAAATTAAACTGAGGCTGCAAGTACTCGACCAGATAAGGACGTTTATCTTAACGAGTGCAGACGGTAGCAGCGCTCAGCTGACGTACAGAGCGATGTGAAGAGCCCACAGCAGAGCGAGCAGCTGCACCAGCAGGTAGACGATGAACCAGCGGTGGTTCCTCTCTCCCACACAATTCTCGATCCAGGGACAGTGGTGGTCGAAGCGACGAACGCAGCGTTTACACGTTTGACAGTGCTTCGCTCTCATTGGCTGCTGCTTGAGAGAGAGAGAGAG